TTCACTTTACCATGTTCAGTTTTCTAAGGTTTCAACTTAGGAAAAAAATTCGGTCTCCCAAACCATTTCTCAATTTTAATGCTTTTTACTAATACATTTTCTTTGCTAATTCTGCAAACTTATAGTTACTGAAAGCCAGAACTATTCTATTGTAAAAGAAAAAGTTTAGTGGGATGAAAGAGCACGTAGAAAAGTAGGACTTCTTCCTCAAAAACAAAAAATAAGTTATTTGCTCACCAGTATTGACAGCTGACATGATCCCAAACAGTGAATTCTGGAAGTTGTTAACTCTCCGCCTCTCACGTCTATCTGACCAGTTCACCTCGGGGATAGGTAACAAAGCTTCACGGGAATAAGGAGGCATTGAGGGCTCGCTGCTATACTTCATAAGTGGCTTCCCAGAACTTGGCACCACTCTCTGTGTATTTGAAAATTTGACAACTGGTGGTTTCTTGATTTCTTTCCTATTTTGGAATAAATCTCTTATCTCTTCATGGCTCTGCTGCTCTGCCATAGTTCTTGGTGTCCATCCATGAGTATCTGGCTTATCGATGTCAGCACCTTGTTCTAATAGGAATTTAACTATTTCGACATTTCCATCTGAGACTGCAGTGTGGAGTGCAGTATGTCCATTGCTGTTAGGCAGGGTTACATCTCCACCATATCTGACAATATTTTTTAGAAGATCCAAGTTGTTTTGCTCAACAGCTGTGCACGCAAAATGACCCACATCACCAGAAAATATAACTGCACCATTGCTTGCAAGAAGTTTAATCACAGATTCATGCTGCCCTGATACTGCTTCCCATAAGGAGACATTTCCTTCCAAATCTGCATGACCAAAAGTAATCGGTTATCCTTCTCTTCAGCTAATAGGTACTGTTTGAAATAAAAATAGTATCATTAAATAACAGCAAGGATAACTTTCAAAAATAATCATGTTGAAGCTACCAGCTAGGAGAAAACCTAATTCCTAAAACCTTCACTTCTGAAGTATGATACAATGGAAAATTAGCTATGTGGTCTCTAGGTAGGGTATTATCAGCACAGCCACAAATGCTCATCATCTGACCAGTAACTACTGTTTCATAATGTAATCTACTGCCTTCACTGGTGTAGCCGATGTCGAAGAGATCCAGAACTATGAAACATTCATATACGTGAAAAAATGAAACAAACAGAAGTTATTGGTCTGGTGGATCAAGCCAACATATCAAAACATTAAAGATGGTAACTTTTTGTAAATATCTACATTAATTTCCATGTAATGGAAATTTTTCTTTCTTTCCAAGTTTGAAGTGGACCATGGAAACAAAGATTTAAGTAATTCACTAGATTGATGAGGTTTCTCAAACACTTTTCCAATTCATTATCCTATTTATCACAGCCTAACTTCAGTACATGAGTTTTAGTTTAAGAATTTAACTAATATGATGTATCAATGCACAAAGACAGCATGAACTATATTGAAAAACCAGCCTAGGAGAAAAGCAACAGAATCCTGCCTTAAATGATGATATTCTTCGGTGATACAAGTTAAACATTAGATTAGGTCAGTAGCAGAAGCATTAGCTTTATCTTTCAAACATATGAGAGTACAATGACGAGAATCTCCCGAAAAGCTCTCTGTAAAACCATTTCCAAATAGAAAATGCTTTATATATCTCTGGTGTTCTGATAAATGTACAGAGCTTAGATTCCAGGAAGTATACTTGAATAAGGAACATATTGGTTTTACTAAATTCCGTTTTAAGAATCTCTATTAATTGGAAAACTAAAGACTACCTTTGATATTAGTATCTGCTCCGTACTCTAGGAGTAGAGCCACACAATGCTCATGTCCTTTGGATGCTGCAATATGCTGTTACAAGTTGAAGTAAAGAAAAAAAAAAGAAAAAGAAAAGCTAAAGTAAGCAACATGCGTGCATGCGCCCACACACCCGCACACACACATATATATATAAAAGAGATACGAACCAGGGCAGTTCGCCCATTAGTATCCACTTCATTGGGATCTGAACCTCGTTTCAGCAACTGGTGCAACAACAGATCATCTCCTCTGACTGCTGCAAAGCACAAACTAAGAGGCAAGTCCATCTTGCCGTGAGCCAGCATATGCTCTGTATCAGCCAAAATGCTTGCCATTGCTGGGTCTCTTGAATCTTTCAAATGCTACAACCACAGATAATAAGGATAACTTATTCATTTTCCCATTTTCATCATCTATATATCTTTGCCTTGCCCTAGAAGCGTTGATTTTTCTTTTTTTTTTTAAAAAAAAGAAGCTATGTAATGGTAGCATCATGTGCACTTAAGCACTTGCACAATTGTCTAGGACAATCCCCGTATCTAACAGTTAAATAGCACCTGTCTTCATTCACAACAACTAGATTCCTCTCTCTTTGTAATGGCTAACCAAATATTGCTCTGTTTTCTAAGCCTTTTCCAGGATATAATTCATTGACGGGTGTCTAAGCTTAGAAGGAGATCTATTCAAGAGATACAACTTCTTAAGACACCTCAACAATTTAAGTAAATGCAGAAAGAAATAACTCTTAAGCAATTATAGAGCCCCAACCTAGCTCTGGGAGCTTAATTTAGAAGGAAACACAGGATAATATTGAAGTCTGTCTGCTTGGTAGTAGCAAGATTGTCCGTGATTATAAGATGGTGGATGGTCTTCCCTCCATGCTAACCAAAACTGCTGCAAACTATTCTCCATTTTCCCAACCAAAGGAAAGTGACAAAAGAAAGAACAACAATCAGCAAATTAAGTTAAGCATATTTTGTTTCAAATTTCACAAACCTGAAGAAGGTTATTTATTATTATTGCACCATCCCCTACATTTGCCTGAACAATATTCAGGAAAGCAGTACGGTTCAGGCGAAGCAACTGACTCAATCGTTTAGTTCGCACCGTAAACAGTTGGGGCCTGTAACAAAGCACACCAACCTCGCCGACAACATCTGCTGTCTGTGCTTCACCAATTACCTGCAATTTTCAATTTTAAACAGAATATGCATTTAAATGATGGTAAACAAGCTTTGCTATCTTCTTCATACTGAAATTTAAAAATTACTGCCAGAAGTAATTTTATCCAAAAATTTTAAATAAAAAACTCACCTGCTCTTTTCCATTTATGCCCACAATAATTTCCTGCCAGATAGACTTGCATGTCAGGAACTATAATGCCCCCAAATATTAAAAAGGTAAAATGCAAATAAATGACCAAAAATTCGAGCTTATGTGAATGATATTTCCTTTATTTTGTTAGGTTTCCTTTATTTTTCTCTTGAACAGTGCAAAGAGTCAGATTACCTTATTTTTTATTTAAACCTTTTTGTTGTCCTAAAAATTTAGATAAGAAATCCCACATCAAATCCTCTTATTGGTCATTTTCTCTGCTCAATGATAAGACCTTACATTTGAATGCTTGTATTTCTTGAGAATAAAAATTCCAATTTCAAAATGAAGTCAGAAGCTATACGCATAAGAAAAAAGAGAAATGAACTTCTTACCACAGAACCAGTGACCAATATATACAAATCTGTGGGTGCTTCATTCTGCAAAATTACATCTTCTCTGGGAGGAAAATACTCTGGTTTCATCTCCGAGACCTTTAAAGTTGATAACATGACTTAGTATCTAGATTTTGCTTGTAATATATATGCATGTTTCTGCTAACTTTTTTTTGAGTCACTTACCTGTTGTTAGACAAGTGACTGTTAAATATACCTTTCTGTTAAATATACTCTCTCAATAAAATGCACATAGTTCACCATTAAAGAATTATATCAGTATGTCCTTGACTGGGTGGATTAGAGGAATTCGATCATATGGCCAACCTCCAGTAGTTTGTAGATGGTGCTTTCCTAAGTTGAGTTGCTTTGAAATCCCAAGTTTAAGATTCAAATTTTTTTTAAATGACTCTACATGCAAAAGAGAGGCTCAAAATCTCTTTTTTCCTTCTTTTGTAGTATTAAATAACTTATTGTACACTATCTTCTTTAAGACACCAAAAGCAATTTACTACCCCATCTTCTGCATCTAGAATACAGAATATCCTCCTAACCATCTAAACATCTAAAAAAATGATAACATGGTCATATAAATAGTACCAGTTGAAAGAGTAGATCATTTGATACTCCATGGAATAAGTACACCTTATCAAGGAGTGAATAGAAAAGATAGTGTGAAATGCTTGATCGAATAGCTTTCGGGAGGTTATCAATTGTCTCTTGCTGCTGCAACCCTTCTGAATCAGTTCTGTATTTTAAAGAAAGATGCGCAAGCATCTGATCTTGTAAGCGAACAGGCAAGTGATTCCTGTGGGCAAAACTTGAAGCAGCTTGTATGGTGTCCCTCTGAAATGAACCCAGGAAAGAAAAAGAGAATAAAAAAACTTGAAAGCACCAGACCATCTAGATGGAAACACCTCTTGGACCATAACCACCATGATCCTAATAGAGTACTAAAACCGAGAGCAATAGGCATGATATCCTGATTAGTGAAAGTTTCTGGAGCAATATATATTGAAATTGGAGCAATACATATTAAAATAATGTAGATCAACAAGTGTCAAAAATTAAAAGCATAGCTAAATGAGTTCAAAATGTAGCATTAAGAGAGAATTATATGGTGTATTGATGTCATTTCAGTCGAGAAGAAGAAGAAGTGTTACTGATCACATGGTGGGTCAATTAAAGTTAAGGTTTTGTAGTAAAGTGGTAACCTTTGAAAACAAACTTTGGTGATAAAATTTGTCAAGCAAAGATACAAATAGAGGGTTAATACAAATTTTATAAAAGAACTTTGTCATTTATTTCTGAAAAGCCTCTCCTATTACTACTTTTAAATTTTCCAGCTTGAGCAGATGCAAAAAGTTATTTCCTCCTGCATGAATTGCATAGAAAAGAAGTCACCACTTTCTGGCGAGAAAAGATATTTAGCACATGAATCTTCAAAACCACTTAAGATAATGCTACAAAGTATATGTTGTAACCAGAAGATCGAAGATAACTCCATTAAAAGAGCCAATCTCAACATAAGTAAGTCAGAATTACTCACAAATTTTCTGGTTCGACTGGTTCCATGTACAACCAAGTTAGTCATATTTCCGATCAAATAGGCTGTCAATCCAAGATTAAAGAGCATGTAAAGGGTGCCAAATATCTTTTCCCTTGTATTTACAGCATGCAAATCACCATATCCAGTTGTTGTAAGGGTAGTGATGGACCAATAAATTGAAGTGATATACTTGAACCACAAACTCTTTTCAAGAAAGCCTCCATCAGAAATCCCAATCCAAGTGTTTCCAGGGTCGTGGTAATGTGCAGCAAGAAAATAGTTGACACAGCCAGCAAAATGAACTGCAAATAGTGTAACCTGTACAGACATCGCATACAGAGTAAGATAGATCATAGCCGAAGATTACTTTCTCAAATAAAAAGAACATAATGGTTACCGGTACTAACACATATAAGCTTCAAGCATCGGACCCAAAAATAGCTAAAGTTCTTGTCTTTTTCCAATCTGAAAATATAAACAAAAACCAAGATAAATTCCTGTTGATCGGTTAATGAGAAAAACTAAAGAAAAGGAAACACAATAAATCAATTTGATATGCAGCCTAATTTTAGGCACCCAAGGTAGAGAAAACTTATGGAGAAAAAGTTTCACTGAGAATCACTTTTGCTAACGGTATGCAAGCTGAGCGTGAGAAGGCCATGATGCTTTCTCGCCACCCGGAGATTCCCGGTGATCGAAAAAAAATCTTTCGACATAGCTACTGCTGGAAGGAGGGGAGAAGGGTTAATGGTGAGTGAGAATGGCAAAGGTTTTTGGTAGACAATTTCTTTTTTGGACAAGGAGGTGGAGTGATTGTTAGAAACGCTACAGCATTTTTATCGGAAGGAAGGGGAGGAATTTTGGGTGATGAGCACAGTAGGCATAAGCATATTCCAAGGGTGCAAAGAAGAGGAGCAAGTTTCAGGTTCTTATAGAAAGAAGAGGGGAGTCTCGGAGAAGAATCTACATTTTGGAGGATCATCAAGTGACTGGGTGGAGGACGATTTTGGCAATGTATAACGTGGTGAGTAGAACGTTTAGGACCGCAGGGTTGCAGAACCATCAGAGGCGATGAGATGAGAACTGGAGGACCTCAGTCGGCTGCGACCAACGTCTTAAAATGCATGGTGGCGTGTCAGAAAATTTGGATAGCTATGGAAAACCCAGGATTTAGTAAGAGGTTTATATAAAGATGGTATAATTTTTTCATAATTTTTTTGTGTTTATTTTGTATTTGTAAATACACAGTAAATTTTTTTGTGCAAATCATGATTTTTAAAATTATGATTTTTTTTATTTTTTTAAATTAGTCAGGTAATTTTTATAATAATTTAATGACTTTTTTTTATACCCTTAATATTTTTTATTATTTATAACATTATCTTTTTTTTTTAATTTCTTCTACCCAACATTCTTTTTTATATTCTTCTTCTTTTTAAAATATTATATATATTTAATTATATATTTTTTTATATAAATATTTATTTATATATTCAATTAAATTTAAATAATACATACATATATTTATATATTTAATTATCTATATATTTATATATTTAATTATATATATTTTGTTACATATATACATAAATTTATCTATATATGTATCTATATATTTTATTATACATAAATGCATGTATATAATATATTTATATATATATATTTTTATCATATATATTTATATTTTTATTTATATATTATATATGTATATAATATTTTAATTATATATATAGAATATATTTAATTATATACATATTTTTAATATATATATATATGTATATATTTAATATTATATTTTTTTTAATTTTTATTTATTATTATATACAATAAAATACGAATAAAATAAAAAATTTATTTAAATATATAATAATACTATGTTATCAATTCAAATAAAAACAATTAATATTATTAAATTATCATTTAAATATATTAAATTTAAATATTAATAAATTTTGCATATATTTTATTATACTAGACATTAATGAACCCTTCCTATAAATCATCCAAGGAGGCCGCTAATGGAGAAGAGCTCTGTCAATATGGTAAAAGAAGGTGGAGAGGAGGCGAGCCGGCAGAGAAGAAGAGAGCTCATAAATCGGGTCGGATGGGATTCCAAAATTTAAAATGCATTAAGGGCGCATTTTACTTATGAGATCAAAAACTTTGGGCCTTGTCCAAGAAAGCCTAGTAAGGCCTTCGATGGGCTAATGAATTTGGAAAGTGAGCTTTGTCCAAGGAAGAAGTTTACTAGACTAACGCAAAAAAAGTGGCTTAACGTGTTTCGAGCTGAACCCAGATGAACACAGATGGATGCAATCGAGGGGTGCAGTCACCCGAGGGAGGAAGGAGGACAAAATGAGTTGATAATGATGAAGGCGTGGAGGAGGTCAGACAGGCTCGGGGTCTCGATTGACCAAAGCCAATTGTGAAGGAGGACGCTCCGCCGCTGATGGTTATCGGGGAAGGAAAGAATGATGTGATGGGGTTGGGGAAAGGAGTTTTGTGGAGGAGGGAGAGAAGGAGGGATACTAACAGGTGGTTGTGGTTGAGGGGGATAATGGGGACATTTCTAGTGAAGATGAAAACTCGAAATGTATTCCCAGAAATATATCCATAATTGGTAAGTTACTTGGGGTTAGCTTTAAAGGCCTTAAAGGGTGGCTATAAACCTATTCAAGGAAATCAAGAGGAGAAAGGAAAAATCTGGTGAAAAATTTTGAAGACACTTGGCAAGAGAAGGCAGGGGAGAATTTTTCCAGGGCATGTGCAAAAAGAGTTCCAAGATGTGTTGGACAAGTAAAACCTGATGGTTATGCCACTCTCTAGAGGAAGGTGGACTTGGTCAAATCATATAACCAAACGCTACTTTCTCCAAGATTGACAGATTCCTCATTTTGGTCTTCTCTTTCTAGTGCCAAATAATAGACTAATTTAAAAAACCCTTCAACGCACTATCTCCAACCATTTTCCTATATGTTTGGAGGATAGAGTCAAGCAGTCCATATCTATTTGGATCTGAGGAAAAATGCCTGAAGATTCAGGGCTTTTATGATAAAATCAAAGAATGGTTGGGAAATGTTGAGGCGGAAGAAAATCCGGGTTTCAAGGTTTTCAAGAAACTGGTGGCAATTAAATCCAAGATAAACAATGGAGCAAGGAGGCATTTTGGGGAAGTAGTAGCTGAAGCAAGCGTTCTTAAATTGGAGATAGTATCTTGAATCGGATAATTTAATATAAATGGAGATTGCTTGGAGACAAAAATTGAGAGCTAGATGGACTCTAGATGGAGATAAAAACACAAACTTTTTTAATTAAGAATGATCAAAAAAGACTAAATTACTTGGAAGTTGTTAGAATTAATGGCTATTTAGTAAAAGATAATGAGAGTTTAAAGAATGGACCAAACATTATTTTAAGAAATTCCATATTGAAGTTGTCCCCCCGGGACCAACTCTAGACAGGTTGGAGTTTAATAGATTGAATGAGAAGGATCGAGGGTGCTTGAAAAGGAATTCTCGGATGAGAAGATCTTAGAAGGCTTCACGAACTGTAATGTGATACTCTAATTTCACATCGAAAAAATATGTAATTATTGGGTTTCATATAAGAGATCAAATCATAAATTACTAGTAATTTGAGTTTAAATTTTTAAAAATTAATGGTTTTAAAACAAAAGATTATTAGTTTAATAGTACATAGGTCAAGGCATTATAGTAGCAGTGACACAGCCCTAGACCTATGTGATTTCAACATGAGATTCCTGAAAAATTTTGGGAGATTCTAAAAGAGAATATAATTTAACTCTTCGGAGAATTTTATGATTTGGTTTCTTTCATGAATAGCCTGAACAATACTTTTTGTATACTTATTCCAAAGATGAAATGACTTCTAATATCCAGAATGTCATATCGATCAACTTTGTGGGTTTTCTCTATAAACTTAATGCTAAAGTACTTGCAAAAAGAATGACAAAGATGGTGGGTGAAGTGGTGAAAGAGTGTAAACAGAATTTCGTGTGGAGAGAGATTTTCAATACAGCTCTAATAGCAAATGAGATGGTCGATGAAATTCTGAGTAAGGATAGGAATGGGTTCTATGCAAACTTAACATAGAAAAGGTATAGGACCGTGATAATTGCAGATTTTAGTTAGATTAATTGAACAAAATGAGTTTTGGCAACAAATGAAATTAGTAGATTAAGACTTCGATCTATTTTATGTCATTTGTTATTTTGGAGAATAAGGGTTAATCGAATTTTTTTTACCGCTTCCAAAAAGCTAAGATAAGACAATCAACTTTTCTCACTGCTCTTTATCATATTAATGGAGGCCTTAAAGAAAATACTTCACAAAGCTAAGGCCCTTGAGCCTTTTAAGGGTCTAAAGGTGCATGAAGGTGAGAGGGCCAAGAGGTGTCTCAGCTTTTCTTTATTCATGATATGCTCTTGCTTTGTGAGCCAGATATTGAAGTCGTTCTCAACATCAAATCTTTCATGTTAAATCTCCAAACAGTATTTGGTCTCAATATTAACATACCAAAATTAGAGATGGTGCAATTGGGAAATAACACGGACATCTACAGTTTGGCAAACATTTTGCGATATACATGTTTCAATCTTCAAATAAAATACCTAGGTTTGCCTTTAGGGAAAGTATAAAAGTATTCCTTTATAATCTAGTGATTGTGAGATTAAAGTCTCAATTGGTAGGTTGGAAGAGGAATTTACCGTCATAGGCAAGAAGATTGACTCTTATTAAAAGTATCATGGTCAACATTCTAGTATACTTCATGTCTCTCATATCCATGCCCATTAGTGTGCCAAAAAGTTTGAGTCTATTTAGCAAAGGTTCCTCTGAATTGGTACAGATGAGAGAAGGAAATATCACTTTGTGGTTTGGGATATAGTGAAGCAACTAGTTTAATTTTGCAACTTGGAATTGAGATTGATGTTTGATGTTAAATAGGTTTTTTAAGGAAAATGATTGTGGCAATTAATAGAGGCTAGTTTACCAAGATGCTAAGGCAGCCATATGGTGTCGGGTTATGGAAGAAGATATGCATGGAAAGGATGGAGTTTATCGAGTGAATTAAGAGGAAGGTAAGGTCGGGGGAAAGGATGAGGTTTTGGTAAGATGTGTAAATTGATTGAGAGACTCTAAAGCATCAATTTCCTATGATTATTGCTATTAATAAGTCATGTCCGAATCAACTATGAATGACTTGGATAGTGTGAGTCTTATAAATTTTAATAATTTTATGATTGGGAGATTAGTGAATATCTACAGTTTTTTTTTTGTTTAGTTTTTTTTTTCAAATCTTTTTTCTTTTGTTACCGGTCCGACTGATTAAGACCCAAAAATTCGGCCCCTCTATCTAAAGACCAAAGACCAGACTGCCATGTGTTTGATCCTGTCTGGTTTGATTTTTCAGTCCGGATCAGAATTTGTACACCATTACTTGATATCGATGATTTTCTAGTGTGGACCCTCAACTCCTAAGGGGTCTTTTTACTTTCACTTAGCCAAGAAAGTTGGTGAGCAATGATGAGATTCCATGAAAGCAGATTTGAAAGATAACGCATTTTATCTGAATTTTGATGAATAGATGTTCTCTGTACAGAAATGATATTGAGTCTTGTGATAATATTTTTTTGTGGTGCCTTAAATATGATCTCTTAGGTATAAGCTGAAGATGATGGCAAAGGCAGTGAAAGATGAGATCCGGGTTTGGGCTTTGAATGCAGAGGGATAGACACTTTGTAAGGCTTATTCCTTTTGCAAATTTTTGAGTAATATGAAAAGAAAAAAAAAACAGGCAAGCTTTTGAGGGTTTAGAGATTAATTTTAATAAACTTCAAAATATATGATTTCAGATCTTAAGTTTTTTGATAAAAAGTCATCCTAAATAAATTGATCAACGAAAGAAAAATTTCCAAAGTAATAGGTTTATTCATAATATGAGACCAAAGTATGGTATAAGTCATTCTAACATGAACAGGCAGAAAGTAGTAAAAGCAATCAAATAGTAATAAAAACTGTCACTGATAATAATTTACGCCAACAACTTGGCATCCTACTCAAATGAGACAGTAATAAATTTACCTGGCAAAGAATTTACTCACTCTTCGAAGCCGCCAGAGACGAAGCATGCTGAAGTATCCATATGCTTGAACAGAATCAGGCAATATACTCCGAGCAACTTCAGACGGAATTGTGGATATCACATCAAATGCTAACCATGATCTTGCATACCTCCAAGCAATTTTCTTTGGATCATCAATCAAGAGATAAGTGGTTTTGTCCAGGAATGCAACAAAGAATGTCAAAACAATGTCAATAGCAAAGAACCCATTGACTATGTTGTCTGCAATGCTGAGACCTCCACTGGGTTTTTGCAGAAATCCAAACTCAAAAGGAGACACCCACGCTGTGTAAAAGACTAGAAACACCAAAAACACCTCCCATAATCTGAAATGCCAGATTAAAGCAGCTCAGCAACATTTGCTGATTTTAAACCAACAGATGACATATTAAATCCACAAGAAGAATTTATTGCAGGAAAACTCGTAAAACGATTAAAAATCCCGAACTTATAGTGCAGTGAGGCAGGAATGTGTTATAGAGTATTGAATTTTCACATGAGGAGAATATAATAAAATGAAGGGGGTAAAGAACCAAACGAGCAAGGACAAAGGTTTTACAGATTTCTATATGATGTATTGATTATGCCAAGCAACTTCAACAAAAGGACTAGTCGAATGCTATTTACTATGTCATATATCCAAATAATCCATGCAAGAGAAATTGCAGAAAGAATTTTGTGACTAGACTTTTTTCTCCCTATTTATGATTAGCACCAATAAGAAAATGAAGGGCGTTCGCAGAAAGTGAAAGAAAAACCAAAAAGAATATCGAATGCAAAAATAGAAATATAAACGTGTGATGACGCTTTTGACAAAACAGAGAATAGTAAAATTCCTGCAACAAGTTGCTGCCCTAACATGAATCAACAACTAAAGAAATTAAAAGTTTAAAGCATATATTCTCAGTCATCCCCAAATGATTTGAATTCCCCTGGTTTTCAAGAATTCCCGCGTAAAACCACCAACACATGTTCAGAATGAAAAAAAAAAAAAGGCAGATGTACATACATATACATTTACGGTATAGAACATAAAACGGAGATGAAGATGTGAATGATGATGAAAATGAGAGAAAACAAAAAGTAAAGAAGGACCTGTAACGGGGATCGAAAGGGGATATAACGAAGCGGCGAAGCTTGACACGGCGAGTGGCTTGACCGACAGCGCCGAGATGAGGAAGAATTCCGGCGTGGAGACTGTAGTGGCTGAGGCTAGCTCCATCATGGGACGACATTCGTTCAATTTCGCGCGCATCGTCTTCTCTACCGCAGAACCAGACCACCTTCTTGTTAATCGGCGCCATTTGTTGTTATCTGAAGAAATAACCCCTCAGAAGCCCCTCAAATCCACCTTAGGAAAGAAAATGAAGAAGAAAAATGTCAATGCGATAGCTGTCTTCTCTGCCAGATTTTCATTTTCTCTGTTTCTTTAGGTTTCCCGCAGCGCGACTGTCGCCGCGCCCGATACGTATGGTGTCACCTTTATATATTTGCGCTTTACCGTTATGACTCCTGTCAACCGTGTCCCTCCAAGTTTCTTCTTCTTCAAACCAATTTACAATTTTAACCCTTACCGAATTATATGCCGTTTTTCTAAATTAACAAAGTATAGTAAACTAAATTAAAATTACCTAAATACCTTGGATAACTTTTTTTAAAATATATCTAATTATTTTAAATTTAAACAATTAGCGAGTAATTTATAAAAAAAAAAAAATTTGATGGACAGAAATCTAATTATTTTATTTTTAAAATTTTGAAAATAATTTTAAATAATTTTTTCAATATTTTTTTTAAATAAGTATTAACAGTCAGTTTGTAGCGCCCGGAAAGGAGTAGAAAAAAAAAAAAAAAAAAGGGGGGGGCCACGTCAGCAGCCACGTCAGCAGGCCCGGTCAGCAGTCCCGGCCAATCGGGGCCTGCCACGTGGCAAGATCGCGTCACTCCAAAAGGAGCCACGTTGGCGATCCGCGTGGGTGCGATCCGACGGCCTAGATCAATCGCGCGATCGGACGGTCCAGATTCAATCAAAAACGAACGGCCCAGATTAAAATGAAATGAACGGCTGTGATCAAAAGGCAAGGGGTTATAAATAGAACCCCCACACCAGACCACAAACCCTAGCCGCCAGCCGCTCGCCGGAGAAGACGAACCAGAGGCCGACCGCCGCCACCCGCCGCCACTCGCCGCCGCACCGGGGAAATTTCCGACCGCCGATCGAGGTAAATTTCATACCCCCGACTCGTTTTTCCCCACTGATTCCTCCTATGGCCAAATCGAAGCCGAAATCCCGGCCAAACGGCCGGAATACGCGGCCGAAGCCCAGCGGCGGCGCCGCGCCCCCTCTCGGTTTTTGCCTCCGACGAGGCCCTTCCCGGCCTCCGTTCGATGCAATTTTTATATCACCGTGATCACCATTCTTTTCTCTACAGGTTGACCGAAGCCAAATCACCAAAACAGGAACCTCGCCGGAGGGTCGCCGTACCCG